AACATCAATATGCAATAACAATGCAGCATCGGTAAATAAATATGTTTTGATCCACAGAAGGACAATGTCTGTACGTGGATTGGTTGTATGCTGGAACGTGATATACTACATAAACAAAACAAAAAAGTTAAAAGAAACTTAAAGAAAAATTTATATCATATTTTGTATAAGTTTTGATAATTCTTTTTTGAAATTGCGTGTATTTTGAGATTCTTTCAAGTTTTTAGGCTCGTGTTCATTAAATTTGGACCCAAACAGCGAAAACACCGTTTCATCATGGTCTTACAAGGTTTAGGGACATGTGATTTTATCGATGTCACTGCCAACTTTGTTATAATGGCTGACAGTATATAAGAAATAATATTGCTTGATATCAAATAATTTAGTTAAATAAATAATTTGTTGAATATCATTTTGATTTTCCCAACATAGTTTGAAAAAAGTTTTCTGTAAAGCCTCTATATCATTTAAATACGTTGGGCACACTGTACCCCACGCTCATATGCCATACATTATGTGCGGATCAATTAAGGCATAACATATAGGTAGTACACATACAGGGTGTTTCTTACATGAACCGACAAAAAAATACGGGTTATTAGGGACGCCATTTGATGATCTTTGGTGGAATCCGTGATGCTCTAAGGGCTACGGTTTCCGAGATATGATTTTTTTCGTTTTTTTTTTTGCTGAATTACCTACAATGGCGCAGAACTATCGTGATCACTTTTTTGTTTTTCGAGATAATAACACAAGATAAATTCGAGTCGATTCTGTATAGCATACTGAATCAGATTAGATCAACGGTTTGTACAAAGTTTCTCCATAAAATGACTATGACCTTCCAAAGTCGTAAAATAGCCCAGAGTGAATAAACTATTTCAAATTCAAAATTCGAGTAAAATTAGTTTTATTTGCAAAAGTTCTGTGGTTTATTGCCTTTATAACGAGATACTAGACATCATAGAAATAAGATGTTTTGCGGTCAATAGACGAGAAAACAACTGATTAGGTTCAGGAATAAAGAATTTATTTTTTCAATGTTTCACGTTTGAATTTGATGTTAATATATCATAAGGTACTTTCAAAATGACTGCCTTCATTTCTGAGACATGCTCGTTATCTTGTTTGGATTTCGACGGTTGTTGTGTGTAGCAGGAGCAGGATCTCTTCCTTCATCTGACAAAAGGCAGCTTCAATCCTTTGCATTAGCACCTCTCTGTTGGGTACCTCTGTCACATACACCAATTCCTTCGCTCGGCCTCAGACGTAAAAGTCAAAAGGTGACAAGTCTGGAGACCGTGCTGGCCAAGATATAGGACCACCCCTACCAATCCAGACATTTACACATGTTCTTAAGAAATAAGGATTTCAACTCTTATGCTTGTGACAGTGATTATGACAATGATTATTAAAATGTTGCACAAACCTGTCAAAACATAACATTACATTACCTTGTACAAGACAATAATGAAGTGGATATTTCCTGTTTGCCTGTAACACAGACCTGACTGTTTTCACCGACACAGCAAGTCTTTCAGCGACAACCCACAACCCGAATACTTGTGGTGGGATCCGCATCGTATGCTCTTAGGATTTGCTCATCAGTAGTCGCCACTCACTCTAGACTCATGAAAATTCACGCTTCCAGTCTCTCTCAGTCGCCGATATGTTGTTGCGAAGGTCCCATGGTGAGGTAACTGCCGATCAGGGTATCGCTGCTGGTAAAGTCTTTGCGCTTCATATGAATTGCAGTTAGCACTACCATAAGCCAGCAACATATCAGCATATTCCTCGTTACTGAACCTCGGCATTATGACAACAATAAAAGTTGATAATGATGGTGAAAACAGTAACAATAACTAAAACAGAGACAACAAAATAAAACGCAAATAGACTTCTGGTATGAGAGATAGTCAAAGCTCGACTAGCCCTAATTTCGTAATGTACTCTTTTTTCATCGATGAGATGATGAGGATCGTAATTGAAATGTAATTATCAGATAAGCTCAGGAATCCAACACGGGCAAGTTTATCTAAAATTAATGAGCTGCGATACCTGGAATACATACCTGTCAGGTTATGGGATTAGACATTAATGGCAGTTCTCATTAATACCCTAAGGGCCGATTTCACCAACATTAATATTATGGACCAATAGGAAAATACCTTATCGAAATGCAATTTGACGGAAACTGTCAAAGGTCTCATAATATCAGTGATTTCTATTAAAATGTTGAATAAAATCGTGGAAATTCGACTGTGTTATAAACAAGACCACTTTTTGATTCCAACATGATGCTTTTGTACAGAGAAAACAGGACAACTTTCATGTATTTTGATTTATGTTATAGGTGTAGATTTGACCATCCGTTATCCCCTCAGCAAATGGGAATGGGAGAAATAATAGGTCGATTTTCTAGCTGCCAAATTTGGCAGCAGGTTTGGTCGTTTGTTGATTCATGGCAATCTCGAAATTTGTTAAGTTCAATATACTGTGTGTATATGTGATCATTATAGCTACACATACCTGTTGAATTGTACGGATTTGCAAGAAAATAGAATATAAAATGTATTCCAACCAATTCCTCGTCTCTCGAAAATATCGATACATCGGACGTAGAACATCGATCTTTACGCATCGACAGTTTCATGACGATATATCGATATCGAGAGGAATCATAAACATCCGTAACCGAATACCCCGAGTCTATCCTTAACTGAGCTACCATCTCTAAGCGAGGACTGGTAGCTTCGGAATTGAAAGGCCAGAAAGCTATAGGTATTTGGTAGTATTTGAATATTATCATTACAGACGAGCACTGAGCCACTGAGTGGCCACTGAGCACTGCTGTCTTTTCTTCATTCTGTACTTCCCCAAGGGATAGAATAAAATAGACTGAAAACAGCGCGTTTAATGATTTTCAGTTCTCAGAGAAAGATTTTCCCCTGCCGGCCCTTGACATCGTTTTGAAATATGAAATTCTGGAAACGCTATAAAAATAAAAATGAATACATAAAGCCTACTTACCTATTTCAGACAAAAACAAAAACAACTGCCACATAACGATTGTTACCTTGACATCATTCTGCAATCTGTCAAAGTAGTGATGGGCGTGTCTGCTGCACGGTATATGGTATCGATATTCGATAAAATATTTTTCTTTCTACTATGAATTCGTGGAAGAAACAAAATAAGGAGCTGTTGAAGGCCTACAATAGCCAGGCGCTAATAATTCCTGGCCGTATTTGAATATCTAAGCAGGCACGGTAAAACAAAAATAAGACTTGGAATTAATAAAGTTTATTTCGACAGTTGGCAGAGTTTGCTGCACTGGGACAAGGTGTTGACGGATCCCACAGAATTATGTGTCACTTGTCGATATGGTTAGTTTTAAAATATCAGGAGATAGTCAACTGTTATTCAAATCAGTGTATATGTTTTGTGATTCAAATAATGTCTAATATAAATATAACCCAGAATATCTACTCAGTGAAAAAAGAAAAATATTGCAAATTACTAGTTTTTCTGCAGGTTTTAGGTTTGCTGGTAGCTCTACGACATATATTTGGGTATTTCTTAATCGCTGTGAATATAGTGTGGATGTTTGTTAAGTTCCTGAACAACGGAAAATATTCAACTTTATGGATGTATGGATATTAAAAAACCAGAATGGTTTTGTGGGAATATCAATCTAAGGTGCCATAATGGTTCTGATGAACGGCAAGTAAATGAATGAATGTTTGGAAATGAGCCATATCTATGAACTTTTTGGTAGAGCCAGTCATCAAGTAGGTGCTTAATGGCTATCTGCAAGAGGTTTATAGGAAAAAACACGCATGAGATGATCTTGAATCAGTAAAATCGCATATCAATGAAGAAAATGATATAAACATGAATAGAAACTCAACAATAGTAATTAAATCATGAATTTTATTCAAAAATCAAACATCTGTTTAAATTTTGACTAAATCATATGTAATTTCTTAATATTCAATAAGCTGATGATGTTTCAATGACAAGATGTCATCTCACACTTTGACAGTATTTTCTTTTCAACATTTCATAGCTATTGGTTGCTAAAATTTGTTTATTGGAACTTGAAGCTCATTCGCTGTATTTGACGGGCTGTTGCCCTACAGGTGGAGAATAGCGGACTGTTGTTGATGAAACTGGTCCTATGACGTGTATTATGCTAATCCAGGTATCGGATGTCATTAACTTCAAATCCACCTGCATAAGGCGTATTCCTAATCTCTGAACTGCTTGGCCCTTGCTAACTTCATTACTCTCAACAAGTGGATGCAGTCATTTCGAAAAGACTGATTCAAATTACATAAAAATGTATAAATCGCACAAAAAATGATTAGCTCGACACACTGTTTCCAGTAATTTTGAGCACTAAACAAATTAATTCTATGATGTGTATCGTTGGAAAGGCAAAGAAACACGGAACTTTGGAAAGTCATAAGTCATTTTCTGGAGTAGCTTTGTACAAACGATTTAATCTCATCTAATTCACGATAGTTCTGCGTCATTGTTGGTAGTTCAGCAAAAAAATCGAAAAAAATCATATCTCGGAAACCGTAAATAGCGTCCCCAATTACCCATATCTCTTTGTCGGTTTATGTAAGAAACACCCTGTATAGTTATGTCAATATGCCTGCGAGGAATTTAATTTTTTTGTAACAAATCTAATTTTCTTCAAAATCTAGGCTACTTGAATGTCCCACATCAAATGTTGGTCTGAAAAAATTCCTAAATATTTGGTATTTCAGCTTTTGAATTTGTATTGTTTATTTTGAACGAAAGATTTGAATAACTGATGTCTAAGGTAGACAATGTCAGGCATAGAGCTGATTCAAGTGGAACACCTGCGTGAAAAGCTACTATTGTTTTGTTCTGTCTTGTTCGGCATGTCAACTTCTGTAAAATCCTCTGTATATTTTTTTTCAGGGAAAATAGACTTTTTGAATACGAAAATTTCTGATGTCACTTACTATTTTACTTGACGAATCCCGTCAACATTTTGACCTAGCTAAAAATTGTCCTCAAATTAACCGAGCTGATATCTTTTGACCATCGCTTGACATAATATGACAACGCGTATGTCGACCAACCAGTATTTCTCAAGACTCGAGATTTCATATAGCATTTTCAACTTGCATAAATGAACTGTGTACGTTCACAACGAGTCTCCCAAGCATAACTTACAAAATGGGTGAATTCATTTATACTCAACATAGGCGTACGATATACGCACGGTAGATTTTAAAAACAACACTCTAACATTTTTGTCATTGGAACTTCGGTTTGCAAGACGTTCAAACTAAAAATAATAATGAGACTGTCGCGTAACAAGTTCATATTCACAGTTCAAAAAAACATCTGGGTAACAGGATTCAAACTTAACTTCAACAATTTGGAAACACTTAACGGTCTACCGCTTTCACGACTTGCAGTCAGCGACAAATCATACGTTTTCAAAGCATAGTACTTTGTTCTACTAAGATGGGCTGCGTCTTTGACGCAAACTGCCATAAATCTCACATACCCCAGTGAACACGATGACTTCAAAATGACGTCATTATTCGGTCGCTTTTGGTCGAAAACGTCATCGACTAAAAAATAACGTCTTTATTGACGAGTTTTTTATGACGACAACAAGACGTCCTTTAAAAGGCTGTCAAACCAAAATCGACACCTACCTATAAAGAAAATATAGAATTTTAGTAAGGTAAACTAGATATCCAAACACTAATTTATTTATTTATTTATTTATTTATTTTTATCCCCAACAGGTAACACCCAATTACAAAAAAAATACAAGAAAAAGTTACATAATTAGCAACAGCGGTAACGCCAAACACAAAAAAAAACTTAAAAAAAGAAAAAACAAAACAAACTCTCACTGACAAAGGTACCAGTCTCTGTAGCACTTCACAACAAAGTTCTCACTATCAAAAAATAAGTCACAGGAACTGCAAACAGAATTGAAACATGTACAAATCATATTTACCGGAGATCTAGACAATAAATTAGTATTACCAATAACCGGATAGAAAGTAATTTGAGCACGATTTCCCAAGCTAGGCACACGAAGATTAAGCTTACTTAATATGAATGAACAATCAACTTGATTGTGTATGATTTTGTACAAAATATGTAGCGCTGATATGTCGCGTCTAGGATGCAATGACTCGATATCAAAAATGTTTGATAAAATAGAATGGTCGAAACCTCTTTCAGGATAATTGCCATAAAATTTGTAATACAAATACTTTAAAGCCTTACGCTGCACATATTCAATACTAACCCTTGAATTGTTGTAGATTGGAGACCAAATTAATGAAGCGTATTCCAGCTTACTTCTAATAAATGTAAAATATAAAAGCTTTAGAGTTGATATGTTTGAAAACCCTGGCCAATTCCTTACAAAAAAGCCTAGCATCTTAAACGCTGAATTCATCATTTGAGTGATGTGATCCTTGAATGTCAGCTTGGCATCGAATACAACACCCAATTCCTTGAACGTTTCTGTCCTTTCGAGTAAGTGATCATTGATACTATAATCATAATGTATTACATTTTGCTTTCTACTAAAAGACAGAACTTTACACTTTGACACACTAATCGTAAGAGAGTTTCTGGAACACCAAGAATGCACCAAGTTCAAGCTGTTTTGAAGAGAGATACAGTCGTGATAGCTCTGAATAGCCGTATAAATTTTTAAGTCATCAGCATAAGGGAAATGCATACCAGGCAATTCCAGCGACAGATCATTGATAAACAACACAAAAAACAAAGGACCCAAATTGGATCCTTGGGGCACTCCAGATGTTGCTGTATAAGAATTAGATTTAAAACCACCAAACTCAATGTTCAGATTTCTATCAAATAAATGTGATCTGATCAACTTCAATAAAGATTTAGACAACCCAATCATTTCAAGCTTAGAAAGAAGCAAGTAATGATCTATCTGATCAAAGGCCCTTTGAATGTCGGTATAAATGACATCCAGCTGACCCTGGTCATCTAATACCTCAGAGATAGTTTGAGTCAGACATGTCAGATTTGTGACTGTTGATCTGCCAGCAACAAAACCATGCTGGTTAGGAGATAAAGTACATTTGACAGAGTTGAAAATGGTATTATAAATAATAACTTAAAAAATCTTAAGAAAATTGCAGTCTTGCCTATAGTCACAAATATTACTTCTATCGCCACTTTTAAAGACAGGACATACCTTGGTCATTTTTCAGATACGAGGGTAAGAGCATATTAATAATATCGTATTGTAGATCATGCAAAGCGGTTTTGCCAATACACGAATACAATCCTTTATTAAAAAACTAGGCACACCATCATAGCCTGAAGTCATTTTATTCTTTAACTTTCTGGAAGCATGAATTATATCCGCTTCACTTACAGTGTTCAGAGATATATTCATACTAGTTAGATTTGAAGTCATGAACTCAGAGTTAAAAGAATCAGAACTTATAAACACAGTTGAACAAATTTTTGCAAAAGCATCGACTATGTCCTGTGACGAGGTACAAGTGTTTTCATTGACTAACAATAACTACGTATACTTTACTGATATTTATTTAAAGTAAAAGTATCAGGAATTCTTCAACCAAAGATATCTTGTTTCTAATTATAATATAGCATGTTCAGATATTTCAAGTTGCCATCTTACATCATGTTTTGTTCCCGTAAATAACAAATTTATTTAAAACTCCTCTGTATAACACTAAAGAAGTTTTACTAGAATATTTGTAATCAATCGCGCTGAAAATTCAAATTTTGGAACGGTATATCATCAGCGAAGAAGCGCGATTGTTCTTGGTGGTGAGCTCGACCGATGTCCAGGCTCCATGCGTGTTCGCCGTATGGCAATGGGTCGGACATTTTGTGCTATAAATCTATGGGTTTGGTTTGACCGACATCACAATGGCTTCGTCATCATAGTCAATAAGGCTTGGATGACACCCATAGAAGAGTCTTGGCCTCCTGTGAAAAAGCAAAGTGATTTTGATAAGTTTCTACAAACAAATTCCACACCATCGGTGAACTCACTGCTTGTGAGGCGTCGTTGACACATCCTCGATTTTTCAGCAACATTTGGATACACCGTGCGATTATTTTTGCAAGGACTATACGTCATACCGACGTCGTATCGACCTCAGATAGACACCATATCCACGTCATACAGACTTGATATCGACTTTGTATACAAGATACTGTGACATCATATAATGACGTCAGTTGGGTGTGGCATTAGACCGTTATAATGACGTCACTACTACGTCATTTTTGTTGGTCGCCGCACGTTAGTCGTGCCCTAAAAATGCTGACATTATGACGTCGCTATGTTCACTGGGACGTGGAGTATAGCGGTTAGGGATCCGGTCCAGCTACTTGCTAATAGACTAACTAGCCACTAAAACACCAGCTAGTTATATCAAGAAAGGATACTGCACATGGGATATCTTTTAAATCCATTGGTTGGCTTCATGGACCTTGAGTTTGGCCTTGATTACTGATTTACAACAAAAACACTGCGATCTATAGACGAACCGCTCTTGGTTTGGCTGTTCGCTCACAGATGTCTCTGCGTCTACCGAGAAAGCGCCCACGCAGAGCTGAAAAACTGAAAGATCTAATAACTATTAAGCTTCTAATAATGCTATTTACCATGAGATCCACTGCTTAAATTTTGATAATATTAGAGTGTCAACTATATTTTGTGATTGCTCTGATCGACTATAATGTAATTCGCAGGCTGCAAAGGGCTGAAAAATCTCCCTGCCGTAAATAAATGTCCAAACAAAACTAGATTTGAACAAAAAAGTTTAATCTTTCCCTACTAGTAATGGATAATGAATTTATCCAAAAAATACTATCTATCTGGCAACACCGTATTAATCACACGTCAAATAACAACACGTGATTAGACGCAATCAGCTGTTTTGTGGACGTGATATTTTGGGCTTTATTTGTTTCGTCTGTCTTCTCCTGGTATAACCACAGTTTAGATAACAATCAGCTATGAAACTCTCATATCAGTGTCAGAAGTAGCCGCCATTGAGACGGAGAAAATCGAATGTAAATTCTCCCAGTACACCGACGAGCGAGTTTTTAGTGTTCCGTTTTCAGCATGCCAGCATCCGCAGATATTCTTTGCCATCGTAAAAATTATATTATTCTAATACGATCTAGTGTAGTTTGTGTGCACCAATAATAAAAAGGAGTATGTTTGTCCTAAAAGAAGTGGCCAAGTATTGATGACTAACGTTTATGAGAAAGTTTCAAAATTAATTTGTAGTGGTGGAAAGCTATCAGTATTTACAATAAGTAAACACTAGCAAAATACAGCATTAATTGATTCACAAGAATTTCCGTGTCTTTACCGCGAAAAAAAAACGAAAGCAAACGTTCAACTAAGTGAAAATCGGCGCAATCTGGACTGACACATCTGACAACGACTTAACTAGGATGCTTCGACAAACAAGGCGAGCTTTTAATGTGTAATTGATTGATGGTTCCGATATTTTAAATATCTAAAAAACCAACTATAAAGTTGTAGGCCACTATACAGGGTGTTTCACAACTTGTCCGACAAATTTTAACCACATATACAGGTACCTACTCTGTTACGAAAGAAGTTGATATCTCAAGAAAAATGTAATAAAAGTCCTACAGAAATCGAGATACTAAAATAATACAGTTTTACAGTTCACTTACTTATAAAAGCTGTTCAAAATTGTTTCCATTGACTGCAATGCAAGCTTGGGCGCCTGTAATCCAATTTCGGCGCTCTAATTCAAATACATCTCCTTCCTGCTGTGCCTGAAGGCTCAAATTGTGGGCAGCCACTGTGATTCGGTCTCTCAATTCTTCTAGTTTTTCGAGTAACCCCATAAAAAGAAGTCCAGAGGACTTAGATCGGGAGACCGTGGAGGCCATACAATTGGTCCACCCCTTCCGATCCACCGTATCTGGTATACCTGATTCAAAAAATCACGAACTTCTAAACGCTAGATAAAAAAGGATTCCAATCATGCAAAGAATCTCTATTAAGCGCTATAACTTCGATAACAAGTCAAATGAACACATTGGGATTCAGCCTATCACCACACAAATCATCCA